AACACACCACCTCCTGGCAGCAGGAAGCACCACCCAGAACAGCGAGCTCCAGCTCTCTTGCATCGGGGCTGTTTGGATAATCAGTAGGTATATTAGAAGGAGTGATCTGGATGGCACTGTTCCTGCTGAGCAACTCTGCTTTGAGCGAGAAGGGCGTCAAGTCTGCTTGCAGCCAGCACCAGGCGAGGCATTTTAGCACAGGTCGCAGGTCTGGTGTTTATGCTGCCGTTACCTCCTTTCCCTACCGCTGAAACAAATGGTTGTCTGGACTGCTTTCTTAATTGTTGTTTTTTTGTCGTGAGGTGTGTATAGAAATCAGAGGCTCTTTCCTGTGGGGAATAACTCCCAATGCAGGACCACACACTGGGAATTCCACCTAGAGGGATGCAAGTGGGGACAACGTGCTTGAACTCAATCTTAAAAGTCCCTGGATACGATTTATGGCAATCAAAATTCTTTTCAGCATATTTTGTGTAATTTTATTCTTTTACTTCTTCCCAACTGTTTGTTAAAGTGACTTAATTATAAACCCAATTTACCTTTGTGTGTTGTTAGGAATGGAAAAAAAAATTCTCAAAAGGGCCTAGGGTATAGACTTTTCTTTGAGGAAGCAAGTATTTACTTAAAGCTTAGCTTTGCCTCTTAGGGCCTTCTTTAGGAAAAATGTCTTCAGTGAGATTATATAGTAGAATATTAAGAGAGTTGGACTGCAGCGTCTCACACTGCTTTGTCCTGGAAACCTGCTGGGGGTGGAAGGGGAGTGAAGGAAGAACAGACACACGAACGCACATCCCAAGTGGCCAGGGTCAGGTGGGACGTGAACCCTCTGCTGGAGCAGCGGCAACTGTGCAGCCGCCCGGAACCTCAGCATGTTTATATGCACAGCACAGGGGGCAGGGTTAGCAGTCTGGGCAGAAGGTCTCTGTAGGCAAGTGGTCTCAGGCTACGAACATCCAAGAGGAGGAAGCTGCAGTTGCTAGTTTTTACACAAACTGGTCAATTGTTCATAAACATGTGGACTTGTGCACACTGTCAATGTTCGAACCCAGAGCAATTTCCTCTGAGTCTTACCTGGGGGAAATGCTTTGCCATTCCTAAGGGTCTAAGGCATTGGGGTCCTTGATATGGTCATACCCTGTCAACAATGCACATTCACTCAGCACTTCATCTGCTCTTTACACATTCACTAAAGGCTTCCTCAGCTTCCCACACTAGCCTTTAAACTAAACAGGCTGAAGTTTAAATACTGGCTCAATTACCTTCAGTGTAAGTAGGAATCGTTGGCCCTCTGAGCTTTACTCATTAATAAAATGCAAATCATAGTAGATACCTTACACATTTCTTGTGAAAATTAAGAAAGGGATGTATAATGCTATTCATCCTTAGCAACTGGGCAAACATATTGGATAAACTATTCTCGTCAGGGAACATATCTGTTCACACCTTGCATCTTATTTGATATTTCCTGAGGGTGAATCAGGTGTCAAGGTATCATTCTGGTTTTGCTGTTTTTGCAAGTATCAGTGTTTCCTCAAAAACTGGTGATTTGGTTGTTGTTAATTTCATTTTGTTTTAGTGAAGTCATTTGTTAAATCACTGACTGTCTTGTGGCTATGTATTGAGTACATGACAGCCAAGCACTATTTCAGAGAGAAACATGCCAGAAGAATCATGATCAGAATTTGAAGTTGACTTGATGTCACGACTCCAGAGGGTCAAAATTAAATCAACCAACACACCAACACAGATTTGTCTTTTTTTTTTTTTTTGTTTTATTAGGTAGGGTGATTCTCTGTGTAGCTTTGCGCCTTTCCCAAAGCAAATTGGGGAGGAAAGTGTTTATTTGGCTTACACTTCCGTATCACTGTTCATCAATAAAGGAAGTCAGAACAGGACCTTAAACAGGGC